AAGTTCCTAGAATAACTAGCCCGTTAATGAAATATTAAGTGTGACTTAATTATGAGATCCCATTAAACATAAGGACATTATTCTTAAAGTATCAGTAGTCGAGCTTTACTATAAAGTGGGATAACTTTAAAGCATTAAGACTATTATATAGATAGATTGATGATCACATCTCATGGATCTTGAAAAAAGAGTTATCAAGTCTTCACATAGGTATGAATATTAGGAGTAATATTTATACTAGATTGATACGCTATGAGAGTACTACATAGAATGTTATGTAAAGTGTCATAAGTGTCTCTCATGGTGATAGTGGTGTATACCACTTTTCGACATGAAACCTCTATGGACCCTAGATGTAGAGTCGAGTACTTTATTGCTAATCAAATATTGTCCATAACTGGATGACCATAAATACAGTTGGTGGGTACTCCACAAAGCATGTTGAGAGACATGAGTGATCTAGATGGAATTTGCCAATCCTACATAATAGGATAAATGTTTAAGGGCCCAATATTGAACTGGACAAGGATGACACATTATATGTCTTGTGTTCAATATAGACATAAGTCTAAAAGGGTAATTGTACACAATAATATTATCATGAAAATATTTTGTCATATCACATGAAATTTCGTGACTTGGATAGCAGTCATGTGTTCCTAGATACCACTCACTCTTTATTATATTAAATATATGATTTAATATAATTGTGAACTTCACGAGAACCTACAGGGTCACGCACATAAGAACAAATTGATGAGAGATAGAATAAATAAGAAACACTGTGAGGCACGGTGTACTTGACAGAATTATGGAACACCGTAAGGTACAATGTACTTAAGTGAAATATGGAATATTATATAATATAATAATAATAGTAATATTATTATTGTTATTATTATAATAATAGTTATTAAATATAATAATAATAAAATATGTTTATTATAATAATGGTTATATTATTATTATTATTATTATTATTATTATTATTATTATTATACCTGAAGAAGTTTGGTCGGGACATCCACCTAGTCTCGACATACTGAGAGTATTTGGCTGCATGGCCTATGCTCATATTAGGCAAAACAAAGTCGAACCTAGAGCTCTGAAATGCATGTTCATGGGATACCCTGAAGGAGTCAAAGCTTATAGGCTATAGTGCCTAGAGCCAGGTCAAAGGAGGTGTATCACTAGTCGAGATATAGTTTTCAATGAAGAAGAGATGGCTTTCAAGAAAACTGATGATGCTGACGAAGAGCTGGAACAGAGAGAGATTCCTGTTGAGGTGGAGCATATTGATGCTGAATTGCGTATCCCAGATAAAGTCGAGAAGACGTAGAAGATGTTGTCGAATACGAGGAGACTGATAATGACTACCTGCTAGCAAGAGATAGGTCAAGGAGAGTCATCAAGCCACCTTCAGAGACTTGGGTATGCAGATTTTATAACTTATGCCTCAATCTCTGCAAGTGAGGTTCTAGACGAAGAACCTAGAGAGTATAAGGAAGTTATGGGGAGTCAAAAGAAGACTGAATGGCTGAAGGCCATGGATGATGAGATGAAATCTCTTCATGATAAAAACACCTAGGAACTGATCAAGAAACCTGCTAGAGCTAGGTTAGTCAGCTCTAAATGGATTTTCAAAGTTGAAGAAGGGATCGAAGAAGTGGTGTTGAAGAGATACAAGGCAAGATTGGTGGCTAGGGGGTTTACTCAGAAAAAAAGGTGTTGACTTTAATGATGTGTCCTCTCCTGTTGTGAAGCACATATCCATTTAATGTTTCTTGCCACGGTGGCCCAATTCGACCTTGAACTGGAACATATGGATGCGAAGATTGCGTCCTTGTATGGTGACTTAGATGAAACAATCCTTTTGAGGCAACCTGAAGGGTATGTCGAAAAAGGGAAGGAAGATTATGTGTGCAAGCTGAATAGATTGTTATATGGACTGAAACAATCTCCTCGACAGTGGAATAGGAGATTTGACAAGTTCATGGCACGCATAAGTTTCATTAGAAGTCAGTCTGACCACTGTGTTTACTTCATATTTTGACCTGGTAATTCATTTGTTATTTTGTTGCTTTATGTGGATGATATTCTAATAGCAAGCAACAATTTCGATGATGTAATGAGGGTGAAGGCTGAACTTAATAAGGAGTTCGACAAGAAGGGTCTGGGAGCTGCGTCCAGGATTCTTGGGATTGACATCCAAAGAGATAGAAAGTAGTTGAAATTATGCTTATCTCAAGAGGCATACCTACAGAAGATTCTCGAAAAGTTTGGTATGTCGAATTCAAAGCCTGTTGTGACTCTGACAAACCCTCAATTCAATCTGAGTGTAGATTAGTATCCCAATACTGATGTCGAAAAAGATTATATGAATAGTATTCCATATGCTAATATAATGGATTCTTTGATGTATGCTATGGTCTGTACTAGACCCGACATATCATATGCAGTAAGTCTTGTAAGCAAGTACATGGCGAATCCTGGAAAGGCTCACGGGAAAGCATTGAAGTGGATTCTAAGGTACATAAATGGGTCTCTGAATAGAGTCCTAATTTATGGTGGAGCCTTGGGTGAAGATAATAAAGCAGCAATTGAAGGATATGTCGACTCTGATTATGCAGGCTGTATGGATTCCAGAAAATGTATTTCTAGATATGTGTTCACTATGTCTGGGACAAGAATCAATTGAAAAGCAACACTTTAGAAGGTCGTTGCCTTATCAACCACTGAAGCGAAATATATCGCCTTAACTAAAGCTGTGAAAGAAGCATTATGACTTGAAGGTGTTACAAAGGAGTTGGACCTTCAAGGTCGAGTTATCACTGTTAAATGTGATAGTCAAAGTGCAATACAGCTGTCGAAGAATTCAGTCTATCATGAGCGAACCAAACACATTGATCTGAGGCTGTATTTCGTCAGAGGGGTAATCGTGCGTGGAGAAGTTCAAGTACTGAAGTTTCTGAAAGATCATAATGCTGCTAATATGATCACCAAGACGTTTCCTAGTTGCAAATTTTTCTATTGTATGCAGTTGATAAAGCTGCATGAAGAAAGCTAGTTTCTTGATGTTATAGAGTTAGATCTAAGGTGAAGATTTGTGAGATATTGGATTGAACTCTAGTATGGTCGAAGTCTGTTCGTGAGTAATACGTGTTGTAGTCGAAGTTTGTTCTAACATGCATTAATCAATATTGCTAGGTTTGTTAGCATGTTGAATTAGGCCTTGCTTGTAAGTCCAATTGTTTAAGTTAGCTTGTACCCTAAGTTAGCTTGTAATGGGTAATTGTTAGAAATCCCATTAGGTTAGTGTGATATTTCTCTTATAAATAGCATGCTAGTCTCTCATCTTGATATAAGGAAAAATAGGAAGATAAAATCCTAATTCAAGAGAGAGAGGTTATTTGTTATTCTTATATACTTGTAATCTTGTTTGATAGATAAAGAAAAGAATATCAATTTATAATCAATCCTTGTTGTTTCTACTTGTTGTTTTCCCTTATTTTCTCTGTTAACCCTAACCCTTGTGTGTTTTTTGTTTATAAAGAAACCGTTTATATTCTGTTTCAAGGCATCCTATTCACAACAAATTAGTTAAGCAAAATTTGTTAATCAATAAGCTTAAGGTTTGAGTTCTGAATATCTTCAGATCTCCTTCAAAAGTGTTAAGGTGCCAACTTCTTCAAGATGCAAAGTTTTGCTTTTGGGATGAAGTACGTTTTTGTTAATCCAAAATCAAGTTGGAAGATATTGGGTTTGTTTCAGTCAAAGAAGATCTGAATGGATGAAGTATGTTTTTGTTAATCCAAAATCAAGTTGGAAGATGATTAGATGCACCTTTACATTACTCAAATCGTATTTAAATGAAGATTTAAATTTAAATTTTAATTAATAACAGATTATATCTTTTGTTGGAGATCTTTATAGATCAAATCTAATCCAACAAGATTCTGCTATTATTTTGGATGAAATCAAATCTAAATCCAAATGAGAAAATCCTATAAGACATTGTTATTTAAGAAAACTCAACCCTCACTTTTCAGGTGTACGTGTTTTGAAGATACCTAGTATTAGGGTTTATTTTTTGAGTCTTTGTTTGTGCACCACTCTTATGTCTCATTTTATATCTCAAGGCATAGAGTTTGTTGTTAATTTAGTTGTAAACCTTTTTCCGATATGTTAAGGTTGAATCTTTATGTATACCACTCTATGTTTCATTAACTTGACATAATTGTTGGTTTGTTTTAGTTAAGTTGTAAATTCAACAATCATTGTGTTAATTAAGTTGATCACTTGAAATTAGTGATTGAGAAAAATTGAGAGGAGTTCTCATATTTAAAGGAATACTTAAATAGAAGCTTACTAGAATTAGAGAGAAGGCATAAAATTTCATAAGGGTTAAAGGTTCTTATAAGACTAATTATTCTAATTCGAAATAATAAATTTCCTTTCTTATTTTAAAAATATCAAACACAATAGACAATAAACCTTAATTAAATATTAAAAAAAGTATCAATAAACCTTTTGTTGGTCTTATATGAAAGACCATCTTATATATTGGATACTCTTAAGGTATTTCAAGTCCAAATATTTTCTTAATTAAGTATTAATAAAAATCATTACTAGTTTAGTTATATATATATATATATATATATATATATATATATATATATATATATATATATATATATATATATATATATATATATATATATATATATATATATATATATTAATTTTATTATAGTCAATTAAAAGAACAGACTGATACTCCAATGGAGAAAAGACAACCTTTATGTCTAATTAAATGTTTAGTTAGGAGGTAAGAAGTCCAATTTTCTTATTTCTAGAGACATGAAATTGGGTGTAGACAAATTGTGTTGGACTTCAGATCGTCATATTTGAGCTGGGTCATCATCCTTCCAATCCATATCATCATCATCTTCTGGTTTCGATTTTGGCTTCACACCAGAATTGAGAGCTTACACAAAAAAATGGCGAGTTCTCCGCCTACCTCCAGTAAACGCCCCAAATCCGAAGCAGAATCCGACGAAGAAAACAACAAGGAGCAGTATGATTGCTGCGGAATTTGCTACGTCGAACGCGGGTTTTCAATTCCAGGTAAAATTGATTCCTGCAACCATTATTTTTGCTTCGTTTGCATCATGGAATGGGCCAAACACGAATCTAGATGCCCAATCTGTCGCCAGAGATTCTCCAACGTTCGTAGACTCCCTAAGCTTGGCGTATTTTCTTCCTATCGGGACGTTAAGGTCCCTTTCCGTGACCAGGTCATTCTCTTCTCCGTAACTGTAACACATTCAAAATGGCATGAAACTCTAATTTAACTGAATGATAGTGCAAAATATGTTTGTAGGTTTATCATCCTCATGGAAATATGACAAGTGGTCCCGTTGATTCTAATACTGAACTCAAATGCTGTATTTGCTATGTTGCAAAAGATGAAAATCTTCTAATCATATGCGATCTTTGCGATATGGCTTCACATACTTATTGCGTTGGCATGGGCTACACCGTTCCTGAAGGTGATTGGTTTTGTCATGATTGTGCTGTTTCCCGGGAGACTAATGCTAATGATGGGTTAGACTTAGACCAACAAGCTGTTGAGTTAACAGCTGAGTCTAGTGTAACCGTCTTAGATATCGTGAGAGAAACAGGCAGCCACGTGGCTAGAAGACCGATGATATCTTCCATTCGACGAAACAATTCTTTGTCTTCTTCTATTCCTTTAGTTGATAGAGTGAGTAGATCAGAAGGTAAAAAACCTGTGACGGCTATGCAGCGTGCGCAATGTAATGTCCAGGTGCTTCGTGAAAATTGGAATTCTTTGAGAAGTGGTTCATTGAAGTTCAATAGAAAATCATTTCAATCTGGTGGCACAAGTAGTCAACAACATGATTCTAGTTCTTTATCACATGGTAAATTAGATGGTTCAGACTCAATGGCTTCCACAGGCCGTCAACAATCAACAGTCCAAGGCGCTCAATCTAGTAATATGGTGAACGATGGTGACTTTAAATATGATGTTCACAAAGCTTGGCAAATGATGGATAGAGCAAAGAAGATGAAACAGACTCCTAGAAGAACTAGCAAAATTACAAAGGTAGCGGATGATGATCCCTCGTGTAGCGGTGCTAGAGAAAAATCATTTGCACCTCATAATTGCCCAGAATTGAAAAACCTACAGACTAGGACATTAGACTTTAGGTGCACCAGAATGGAGGAGCAGTATGGCTATTCTAGTCTTAATAAAAAGTTGGAAGATCACTTGTCTCCGTTGTTGGGAGAGAAAAGGAAAAGTAGGGTCTCATGTGAGGAGAATGTACAACATTTGAGGGATCATACTAGTACTACTCATTCAGTAGGGTGCAGGGAACGTCCATTGCTCAGTAAGGTTCATACTGGTACCCACAGTGCTCCCCGTGACGACGATGAAATAAATTCTGCTAGGAAACGAAGGCAGTCTGCTTACTTGGTAACTTCAGTTGGTTCAGCACCCTCTATTGGCAAATCTGACAGTGTGTTCCCCTATAGTAAGGATGTGGATATTTTCAATAAAGAAAAGAGATTTGCTAAAGGCTTTGGGAATGACATCACAAAAAATACTGAAGATGCAAAAACAGAGATCCAGTCTCTTGTTAAACTGAATCTGAAGTGCTTAACTAGAGATAAAAAATTAGGTAATATTAATTAATTGTTATTTATTTTTTCCTCTATATTGACATGACCATTGTTGGCTGAAATTGTTATAGATGTTTCATATACAACAACAACCGAGCCTTATCCCACTAAGTGGAGTTGGCTACATGAATCAACTTTCGCCATAATATTCTATCTACAATCGTGCTTCTATTCAAATTGTTAATCTCGAGTTCTTTCTTAATAACTTCTGTTATAGTCTTTCTAGGTCTCCCTCTTCCTCTAGTTTTTTGACTTTTCTGCATCTGGTCTATTATCCTTACCACAGAAAATACACGTCTTCTCTCTATATGTCAAAACCACCTAAGTCTATTTTACACCATCTTTTCTCATTTAAATCCTCCTTTGAATTTCTAAGCCAGACTATATCATCTGCAAAAAAAACATGCATTTCGGTGCTCGCTCTTGGATGTGTTCTGTGAGTACATTCTAAATTAAAGTAAAAAGATAGGGGGTTAGGGTTGAACCTTGATGCAATCCTATTGTAATGGAGAAATCGTCAGTCTCTCCACCTTGGACCGTGCACTACTCGATACCCCTTCAGATATATCTTTGATACATCTTTAAATTCTATTTATGGTCTCTAGGTAAATTCATTTGGTAATTGGTATGCATTTTACCTTTAGCAGTGTATGTATGCAAGGTTGTCAAGATCGGGTCTTGCATAAAACCAAGAGGGGACAGTAAAATCGTAAAACATAAGATCGTAACTTAGATTGGAAGATCCTATCTAATAATTTTTGTAACATCAAGAGGGGGTAGTACGTTAGGCCACTGAGCTGAATGTAGATTTTAATGAGCCTTTGGTGTATGACAACAGAAGAGGGTGTAAGGAGTGAAAGGTTTATTCTAGAAGGGATAGGAAAGGAATATCTATTAAGAAATGATTGACATGGCTGTTAGTTTGTTAGAAACCGATAGTAAATCCTTGATATAGGGAGGTAGTGTAGCGAGAGAGAATCATTGGAGAATTTGTGTATTTGTATTATGGTTAGGAAGCTGAGCACAACTCTGGTCAGTTTTGGAGTGATATTCCCATCTGTAGTTCTCTCTACATACAATCAATAATAATACAATCTCTTTTTCATCTCATTTCATTTAATCTTGTCATTGTTATTTCTCCATCTGTGATCTCTGGTATGTAACAAACTGGTCCGACCTACCGGATTCGTTTGTGGATGAATCAGTGTTAGTAGTTAGTGCTAAGACGTGGGTTCATTGGATCTATTTGGAGGAGTATTGGTTCTGTTAAGAGTCCCACATCGGACAATATATGACATGAACATGTGTTTATAAGTGAGAGCAATCCTCACTCTACCAACCGGTTTTGTAGGGTTGAGTTAGGCCCAACCACATTTCTTAACATGGTATCAGAGCCTGGTTTAAGATCCGGTGGGCCACCTTCTATGGTTTCCGCTATCGGGCCACCCACCATTTATTTCCACGCTTCAGTTGTCCAGTCCTGAGCGTGATCGGGCCACCCACCATTTATTTCCACGCTTCAGTTGTCCAGTCCTGAGCGTGAGGGGGTGTGTTAAGAGTCCCACATCGGACAATATATGGCATGAACATGTGTTTATAAGTGGGAGCAATCCTCACTCTACCAACCGGTTTTGTAGGGTTGAGTTAGACCCAACCACATTTCTTAACAGGTTCAATACCACATATCACGCAACTACCGGGCAAACACCATTCGAAATTGTTTATGGTCGTGCTCCTCCAACTATTATGAGGTGGGGTTAGGAGAGGCACGTGTGGAGGTTGTCTAGCGTGAACTGATGGAGCGTGATGAAGCATTGACGCAGCTGCGTGTTCACTTACAGCGTGCTCAGGAGAGAATGAAGGGTCAGGCAGACAAAAAGAGGATTAAGAGAAGTTTTGAAGTTGGTGAATGGGTTTTCGTTAAGTTGTGTGCTCATAGACAACAGTCAGTGATAGCACACATTAATGCTAAGCTGGAAGCGTGTTACTATGGTCCGTACGAGGTGTTGGAGAGGGTAGGAGCAGTGGCATATCGTCTCAAGTTACCTGCAAGTGCCAAAGTCCACCTGGTGTTTCATGTCTCTTTATTGAAGAAAGCTGTAGGGGAGCACCTAGGTGAAAATGAGCTACCTGCAGAGATTACAGGAGATCAAACTGAGATGTTTGAACCAGAAAAAGTGTTGGCAACTCGTATGGTTAGATTAGAGGGGAATCAGTGCTGCAGGTCTTAGTTCAATGGAAGGGCAAAGGAGCAGAGGAGGCCACATGGGAAGATGCGTTAACTATCCAAAGTCAATTTCCTAAGTTTAGACTTGAGGACAAGTCTAATGCTGAAGAGGAAGGTATTGTTAGGCCCACTGAGCTGAGTGTGGATTTTAACGAGCCTTTGGTGTGTGATGACAGAAGGGGGTGTAAGGAGTGGAAGGTTTATTCTAAAAGGAGTAGGAAAGGAATATCTATTGACGTGGCTGTTAGTTTGTTACTGTTAGTAAATCCTTGATATAAGGAGGTAGTGTAGTCAGAGACAATCATTGGAGAATTCGTGTATTTGTATTATGGTTAGGAAGCTAAACTGAGCACAGCTCTGGCCAGTTTTGGGGTGATATTCCCATCTGCAATTCTCTCTACATACAATCAATAATAATACAGTCTCTTTTTCATCTCATTTCATCTGATCTGTCATCCTTATTTCCTTATCTGTGATCTCTCGTACTTAACATAGTAAGATTGTAAAACATAATATTGTAACAAAAATCGTAAGAGATTATTAAAATGAAATATTATATTATATATTTTGTTGAAATGTAAGAGACTAAGAGACATTTAAATAAATCGTGTGTTTTGAAAAGTACTATGGAGATTTTATGATATATAGAGAGATTATAACTAATTACATGATATAGTCGATGTGAGACTATTCTATTTACAAATATTCTTAACACTATATATTTACAAATACCAACACTCCCCCTTAAGCTTGAGCATATAACTAAAATGCACCAATATATAATTAGTTTTGAGGTTTCGCAAGGATTTTATAAACACGTATGCCAATTGATCATTAGAGTTGACAAAGTTTGTGACGATGTCACTTGACTCGATCTTTTCTCTAACAAAGTGACCGTCTATCTCAATATGTTTGGTCCTCTCATGGAAGACTGGATTTGAAGCAATGTGCAATGCAACTTGATTATCACAAATAAGTGTCATTAGAGCACATTTGATGTATCTCAGAATCCGGATAACAACATCCATGTATTCCTGGCAAGAGGATTTAGGAACTGGCTTACCACGCTGACTGCAAAAAAATGTTTGGACGAGTGACTATGAGATAATTCGACTTTCCAACCAATCTCTTATACTTTCCTGAGTCAGATAGAGGCCCTCTGATTGGGTAGTAGTTTGACACTTGGATCAATAGGAGTATCAGTTGGTTTAACATTCAACAAACACGTTTCTTCCTAAATATCCATATCATATTTTCGTCGAGAAATCACCAACCATCTTTAGATTGGGCTACCTCAATACCCAAGAAATAACGGAGTTTACCAAGATCTTTTGTTTGAAATTGATTCGAGAGATGTTGTTTGAATTAGAGTATTCCCTGCCGACCACTACCGGTTATGACAATATCATCACGCAATAAGATAAATACACCTTTGGACTGAGTGACGATAAAAAACAGAATGGTCAGCTTCACTACGGACCATACCAAATTGTTGTACTACAGTGCTGAATCTGCCGAACCAAACTCTCGAAGATTGCTTAAGACCATAAAGAGACCTGTGTAGCCTACACACCATATTCGATGACTCCCATTGAGCAACAAACCCAGGTAGTTGCTCCATATATACTTTCTCTTCAAGATCACCATGTAAAAAAACATTTTAATGTCAAGTTGATGAAGAGGCTAATGTCGAATGGCTGTAATGGCTAAAAGAAGTCTAACAAATGTCATCTTGACTACAGGCAAGAAGGTATCATTATAATTCAACCCCAAAGTCTGAGTGTATCCTTTGGCTACCAAGCGAGTTTTAAATCGATCAATCTTACCATCTGGACCAACCTTCATTGTATAAAACCAACGACAACCTACTAAAGATTTTCCAGGGGGTAGAGGAACCAGTTCCCATTGTATGGGTATCTAGTGGGTCAGGTTCCCTGGAATGAGGGAGGACGATTGCAGATAGGACTTCTGGAAGAGGTGTGGGAGTACTTTTCTGAAGGAGTTTCGGAGTTGCTTGGCTGGACTCGAAATATGGAACAGACTCAAAGAAGGTAACATCGGCCAATACGAGGTATCGTTGTAGAGTATGAGTTAGCAACAATAACCTTTTTGGTATCAATGATAACCAAGAAAGACACACTTTAGTGATCGAGCTGATAGTTTATCAAGTTCAGGGGAGAGATTGTGTACAAAACATGTAGATCCGAAGACTCGAAGAGGAATTGGGTGAATGGAAGAGTGTGGAAAAGAGTGTGGAAAAAGGATTGAATGAGGGATTTTATTATTAAGGACAAATGAGAGCATGCGATTTATAAGGTAACATGTCGTGAGTACAGTATCTTCCCAAAACTGGAGTGGAACATTACCATGGAGAAGTAGGGTCTGAGTGGTTTCTACGAGATGCCGATTTTTGCATTCGGCTGCCCCGTTTTGTTGAGGTGTATGAGGGCAAGATGTTTGGTGCAGAATACTATTGGATGACATAAAAGTTTGAAATTGTTAGGATAAATCTTCACGGGCATTGTTACTTCTTAAGGTACGAGTAGACAAACCAAATTAGATTTTTATTTCTCGATAAAATTGTTCAAAAATAGAAAATAATTCAGATCTATTCTTCATTAAAAGTAACCACGTGCACCGTGAAAAATCATCAATAAATGTTACAAAATGTCTAGACTCAAAAATAGAAACGGTACGCGATGGACCCCAAACATTGGAGCAAACTAAAGCAAAAGGGGATGAAGTCCGTTTATTGACTCGATCGGGAAAGTG